TGAACATTAAAAAAATGAAAAAAATATGAAAAAAATATGAGATCATTTCTGATGCATTAATTGTACTTAGAATGATGCAGAGGTCATTGGAATCAAAGGAACTTCAGCATATGCGTAAAACTGAATTTCAGAAGAGAGGTTGAAAAAGATAATTAATTTAAACATAGAATGCTCATTAAATATAAGCAAAAATGACCACAGAACCTACTGCCCATTTCAACATGTAACATAGAAAAACAAATTGTGATTCCTACTAAGATCCTATGTGAAATGATACCAGTGGCAGTATCCAACAAAATATATGTATCACTGACATTATACTAAGTAAGAGGTGCTGCGTCTTTCTGTGGGAAATAGGTAGATTGAGGGCCTGGAAAAAAACAGACCTTTGCAGAGTACTCAGCAACTCATCACAGTGATGAGTTTGCAGCTCTGAAAAATTGCCGTCTCCCCAGGCAACAGTTAGCAGCCAATCGGATACTGCGGTCACAGTTTTGACTTATAAGGAATGTTTTCCTGTTTGTGTTTGGTTATAAAAAGGCTGTGACCTTTTGAATAAATGTCTCAGTTTTTTACCCCCCTTTTGAGTCCATGCTTCAATACACCATATCTTTCCAACCAAAAGTGGTGTGGTGTCAGGATTGTGTTCAGTATCCACCACTAATTTCCTATACCAGTCTCATTTCCGCAAACTAAGTGAAATGGAAATTGACTTGAAGTAGACACTAAATATTGTAATTTTCTACAGAGCTTTGCTTATGAATATGCATCGTTCTTTTATCTTTATATAATTTTGTGGTTGCATTTAGCTGATAATTAACCTCTTGACATATACCTCATAACTACCAGGTACTCCTTTCCTGCAATTACACCTGTAAACATAATAGTTGCCAGTTCCATACATTACAAGTACTGAAATTATTCATTATGAACCAGATCTTGAAGCTGTTGCCACTTCAGCTCTTCTTCAACCAAAATATAGGACGATTACAAGAATGGTTGTTTGACCAGTTGAGGACTGAATAGAAACTGGTAAGGAATTTTATTGTCCAATATTACATTATTTTGCTCTATGCATTTTTCATGAAGCTTTAGAGAATTTCTGTGCCAGTAACTCAAAAATATTACTTATTTGCTTAAAGTAAGTCCACTAAAGCCAAGTTAAACATTAATGATGGATCTGAATCTGGTGACAAGTGCCAAGCACAAAAGGCTTCATTAGTGCATGAGTACTTCTATAAGTATAGAAACAGCAAAACAATGAGTAGGGAAAATATGTGTTTGCTATTGAGTAGACATGGGGCCCTGGTGACACAATGTGAGGAAAAGGCTGTGGTACTGACAGCCTTCTTTGCCCCAGTCTTCAGCAGTAAGGTTGTTCTTTGGAAAGCCAAGACCACAGAGACAAGGAGGAAAGGCTGGAGCAAGAAAGGCTTAGAGACTGCTCTATATCCAGTTTAATTACATGATCTAACCCAGCTGATAAGCCTGACCCTTATTTTATATCATATATAACACAAATAGTAGAGGCATTTAAAGACAATACACCAGAAACCTACTTTAATAGTCGGTGATCCTAATATTTGAAATTGTTTCTATGCAGATATCCTCTTGTGATTGACATGATAAAGGTCCTAGGTTTTTAAATTAACAGACCAACTTTCTCTCAACAAATATGCAAGTTGTAATTAATTAACTTGCTACTATCTTTATGTCAAAACATTGAAGCAAAACATATGTCTTCACTAAAATTCTCAAGACTTAGAGACAGCATGGATTTTTTAAATAAACTTAACCCTATACTCTACAAAAAGTGGCAATAATATAATCCTTGGCTATTTAGAACACATTTTTAACAGAATTTAATTCTAGAACAAAAATCAACATCTACCCTGTATCTTCAATTTCTGAAGAAATTATTATTTCCACAGTATCATAAAATGCAAAATCCAAAGTTGAATTTCATTTTAAACTTTAACAACTGGCTATTTATTGAAGCAATTGATTACTAACATATAAATATTTTATAAATAATTGTTGCAGAATTCAAAATTTTATCCAAATCACAATTTAAAACACATTTATCCAATATTCTGGGAATATTGATTGTACCATAGTTAAAATCCATCTCAGATTCTCCTTGACTCAGATAAGCTACAGCACTGGAGCCTAAAATATCATTACTTACATAACTGTTCTACACCTTTCCCTTGTTTAACATTTCCTCAGTTAGTTGTGTCCAAGTCATACTTTCTATGAGGAGAGGAGGACCATAGCAATGTGGGCATAAGTCACCAGTGCCACTTCATCTGATGGCTCTCAATCAACTTTTTTTCTTATGCAACAGTAGGCTCAGTTAGTAGGTTTTTAATTGAGCAGAAACTGAGCTGCTGGTTGCTGCAGTGAATAGTATATTAAAGGTAATTTGAACTAACACTTGCCCATTTATCAGAGTTTATTATAATCTTCCAAGTTCTGTGGTGTGGTCAACACACTGGAGGGAAGGGATACCATCCAGAGGGACCTGGACAGGCTTGAAATGTGGGCCAATGGAACCTCATGAAGTTCAACAAGGCCAAGTGCAGGGTCCTACACGTATTGGGGCAATCCTAATCCCAAATACAGGCTGGGCAGAGAATGGATTGAGAACAGCCCTGAGGAGAGACTTGTGCATTTTGTGTATGAGAAGCTTAACAAGCTGACAATGTCCACTTGGAGCCCAGAAAGCCAGCTGTAACCTGGTCTGCATGAAAAAAAGTGTAACCAGTAGGTAGAGGAGGGTGGTTCTCCCCTTCTACTCTGCTCATGCAGTACTCCAGATGGACTACTGCATCCAGCTCTGGGACCCCAAACTTTAAGAAGGATGGGGACCTGAAGAAGCAAGGCCAGAGGAGAGCCATGAAGATGATCAGAGGGCTGGAGCACCTCTCCTGTGAAGACAGGCTGAGAGAGTTGGGGCTGTTCATCCCAGTGAGGAGCTCTTGGGATCTCTAGGGAACACTTATAGCAGCCTTTCAGTACCTAAAGGGGCCTAGAAGAGAGCTGGAGAGGGACTTTTTACAAGGACTTGCAAAGATAAAAAAGAATGAACGGCTTCAAACTGGAAGAAGATAGATTTAGATTAGAAATAAGGAAGAATTTCTTTACTGTGAGGGTGGTGAGGCACTGGAACAGGTTTCCCAGTGAAGTTGTGGATGCGTTATTCCTGGAAGTGTTCAAGACCAGATTGGATGGGGTCCTGATCAACCTGGTCTAGTGGAAAGTGTTGAAACTAGATGATCTCTAATGTCTAGGGGGGTTGGAACTAGCTGATCTGTACAGACCCTTCCAACCCAGTCCGTTCTATGGTTCTTTGAACTGTCTGTACCTATGAAACTCATCACACCACTGCACTTCTTGAAGGACAAAGTTATCTTTCTAATCCACATAAAATTTCAAAAGTTTCAAGACTTATTCTAGCCATACTTCTAGCAATTCTTAATTACTTTTATTTTGAAAATCTTACAAAGAGTAGCAAACCCCTTTAGCTTGTGGCCCCGTTATTTTACAATCTTTCTCTCAGTTCCCATTATTTCTCAAAGTGTAGTCATCCCTGCCCTTAGACATGGTGTCCTTGCTATTGCTAAAGTATATCATACTAAAATTAATGAATATGTGATTGATTTTGTCTTCTGCTTACACATTTCAGCAATTGGCAAACCAATAACTGAGCACATTGCAATGAGTTTCTTTCAGGTGTCATCTATACTATTGTTTCAAAAATTTCTTGATCTTTGGATATTTCAGCAAACGGTCATGACTTACTTGTCACTCTGTGCCATTTGTAACAATTATCCAAGTACACTTCTTATAATTTTAATTTTGACAACACAAAGCATATTTTCATTAGGATCACTGTAAACAAATATGTAGAGAGATCAAAACCAAGCCAATTCATCATTATGTTGACTGTTATCATTACTAACAATCAATCTCCTTCATACTGTCTTTATTTTCTTAGAAGTTTTATATGTATTCATCATCTTAGCCTTCTTCCTGAGAATAGTGCAGTGCAGTAATATGGGTTGAATGGTGAGTGGACATAGATGTTCCTGTTTCATTCTTAGAGAAACTGGAAAGAAGAACTTAAAATAATGGAGATGGGTTTTGATAGTAAGGTTGTGAGAATTTTTTAAAACATAAAAACAAAAAAACAGCTCTGAAAGGCTGAGAAGGAAGAACTTGACTCCTCTTTTATGCATAAGTGTAAAAGAAGTGAGAAAGTAGCCCAGGGTGAGACATTGTTTGGCAAAGAGGAATATTATGTACTGGACCATATATATGGAATAAGTAAACATTTATTTGGATATCATTCATTGAACTTAGGTAAGGACATAAAAGAAAAAAAATCACTAAATGTCTGTCTCTGTATGTTATCATTATGAGCAATGGTAAGTACCTTACGGAATGGGTTTTGACACAGATCAGTGTCTAGATATTCTTTGCATAGGTTGTAAACTTTTATTACATAAGCAAACCTTTAAGACTTCATAGGTTCTTACGAAAACTTTTAGTTGTGTAAACCTCTGCAGATTTAGTAAACAATTAATAATTAACCCTTGCATGTAGTCAGAAATGTAAAAATAACACTAAAAAAAAAACAAAAGAGAAAATCCCCAGCCCAACCCACCCCATCCCTTCTATTGCTTTATTATCTATGCATATATGTCCTAGGGATGCTAATTTCTTGTAGTCACACAATCTGCCTTTTGAGATCTTCAGATCATAAATCTTACCAAGAAGCACAAGACATAAATGTAAAAAAACCCTGTTCTTCGGGGCCAGTGAAGCAACCTGTGTTCTGTGTGTGTTGCCAGCTACAAAATCAGAATGCTTGAGCAAACAGATGGGTATTAATGTATGAACAGCTATTGCTTCTACAGGAAAATCTCAGCACAGTCACCTGTGTTCTTTCTAGAAACTGTGCTCTTTTCCTGGAAATAGAAGGATTTGTTGCAACTCAAGAAAAAAACTAGAGCTGAACAGATTGTTACACACAGAACATCCACCTTCTCCATAGAGAAGGAAAACCTGGGCTCCCAATGCAGACTTGCTCTCCTGTGTCTCAAACAGAAAAACCAACCCAGAAACTACGCGCCTGTCAGTCTCACTTCAGTGCCTGGTGCATTTATGGAGAAGATCATTCTGGGAAGGATTGAAAAACACCTGAAACACAATGCAGTCATCCGTCACAACCAGTACGGCTTCATGAGAGGAAAGTCCTTCCTGTTGAACCTGATTTCCTTCTATGACAAGGTAACCCACCTAGTTGATCAAGGGAAGCCAGTGGGTATAATCTTTTTGGATTTCAGTAAAACTTCTGATACTGTCTCTCACAGGATCCTTCTAGACAAAATGTCCAGCACAGAGCTGGATAACCACATCATGTGATGAGTGAGAAATTGGCTCACAGGTTGAGCACAGAGGGTAAAAGTGCATTGGGTAACATCAGCCTGGTGACCTGTCACTAGTGGGGTTCCACAGGGATCCATCTTGGGGCTAGTGCTCTTCAACATCTTCGTAAATTACTTGGACAAAGGACTGGAAGGGATATCAAGCAAGTTTGTAGATGACACAAAACTGGGAGGAGCTGTTGACTCCCTTGAATGCAGGGGGGCCCTGCAGAGAGACAACAAATTAGAGGACTGGGAAATCACCAACCATATGAAGTTCCACAAGGGAAAGTGACAGATCCTGCACCTGGAATGGGATAACCCTGGATGTACACACAGATTGGGGAATGAGATGCTGGAAAACAGTGCCATGGAAAGGGACCTGGAGGTTCTGGTCAATGGCAAGTTGAATCTGAGTCTGCAGTGCCCTGACAGCCAGGAGGGCCAACTCTGTCCTGGGGGGCATCAGGCAAAGCATGATGGGATTGTCGAAGGATGGGATTGTCCCACTCTGCTCTGCAGTGGAGCAGCTTCACCTTGAATATTGTGCAGTTTTAGGCAACCAACATAAGAAAGATATTAAACTGTTAGAGTCCAAAGGATGGCCACAAAGATGGTGAAGGGCCTTGAGGGGAAGCCATATGAGGTGTGGCTGATATCACTTGGTCTGTTCAGCCTGGAGAAGAAGAGACTGAGGGGAGACCTCACTGTATTTACAACTTCCTCATGAGGAGAAGAGGAGGGGCAGGCACTGATCTCTTCTCTGTAGGGACCAGTGACAGGATCCAAGGGAATGGCCTAAAATTGTGTTGGGGTGGTTTATTTTGGGTATTAGAAAAAAGTCCTTCACTCAGAGGGTGGTTGGGTACTGGAACAAGGTCCCCATGGAAGTGATCACAGCACCAAGTTTGACAGAGTTCAAGAAGTGTTTTGACAATGCTCTCAGGCACATGGTGTGACTCTTGGGAATGGTCCTGTTCAGGGCTAAGAGCTGGACTTTGATGATCCTCATGGGTCTGTTCCAACTCAGTATAATCTGTGATTGTCTTTTAGTGCTTATTTTTTAAAAAAATTATTAAAGCTTATTAAAGGGAGGATTTTGAAAGCCAACTGAATTGAAATCTCTCTAGACTAAATAAAATGCAGTGAGTAAATTCTGGAGTTTGAATGAGCCTGATGATATATCCAGCTCTATAGCAGATTCATTTACAGTTTTCAAAATGTTTATATTTTCTGGTTTGTGACCTTCACTTGTCTCAGTTTTTGATTACCCGGTTGTGGCATGAGGCTTCCTACACATCTGGGAGATTTGCTGGGAGATAACACAGGTGTATTTGGATTTCTGAGAGAACAGGGTTTTTTTCACATTTTTTATTGTTTATCACTTATGCTAAAGATTATTTTGGTGCTTCCTTTCCGATATAAATAACAAAAATTGCAAACAGTTTTCATGACTCACCAACTATATGAGCTGATATTTGAATGCCATCAAAAATTCAATCATCTTTTACCTATTTATGACTCACAAAACTTCTTCTCCATTACTATTTGAGACTAAAATATTGGTCAGTCTACCTGACATGCTTTTGTGAATGTCTATCACTCCAGCTCGTACCTAAAAAGACAACCCTTAGTTTTCCCTCACAAAAAACTAACCTCTACTTCCTTTCCTGAATTTTGAGGACAATGCAGCCTCTAGCCTCTCACTCAAACCCACAACCTCAAAACCTGTCACTCAAACTCACAACCTGGATGTGGTTCTTAGTACGATTTCAGTGCTCCCTGGATTCTGCAGGTTACGTCTCTGTTTTTCTGTAGTGATATCTGCACTCCCTAGCCAACCAAAAAGCTAAAAAATTCTGTCCAGATTTTTGTCAGCTCCCACCAAAGCAGCTCCTTATACCAAACTCTCATTTGTCTTGACAATTGATTCCTTTTTATACCCATCTAGAATTAATCGTCTTCCCAGTGATATTATTTTAGCAATGTCACCTCTTTTTGTATACCTGTACTGTTCCTCTCTTTCCCTTGTTACATCAAGCATGAAATTTTATTGTTTCTTTCAAAGTTCTGCTCTGTTTATCCTCACTTGATCATCATTTCTCATTTAAAAAGTCACATCCTCACACCATTTTGTCAGCCTTCCTTCTCTATAAGTTCAGTTTTCAAACACCACATTTCCAAATATTTGGGAGTGTGTTGGGTTTGCGTGGCAAGGTTTTGGTGGCAGAGGAGCTACACGGGTAGCTTCTATGAAGAGCTGCTAGAAGATTCCCCTATGACATGGTTAATTTTTGCAGTAGCCAGTGTGAGATACTGGATTTGAATCTCACAGAGGATTATATTAATTACTGGGTCAGAGCCAACTCAGGTGTATGTGTGTGGGCAGTGTTACCATGGGATTTATGGTGCTGAAAAAATCTCTAGAGCAGTTAATTAGGGGTGAGATAAGAAAGGGTTTATTTGCAAGGCTAAGATGTTACAAGACACAAAGGCCTGTGCCCAAGAGGTTACATTTTATAATACCATCCATCCAATCCCAAATGTGTCCACCCTGTGGCCTTTGCTCTGGACCGCCCTGGGGTCCACCCCCTGAGAAATGGGTCTGGGGTGCATTTCAGGACCACCTACTTCATCACCTTCACCATCATCAGAGTACAAAGGGTGCATAGTTAGCCAGTTTTTGACTGTGTTCTGTGGTTTAGGCCCTGATATACTGTTCTGCTAACAGTCTAGGCCTTACCTTGACAAAAGACTAAACATTTCTACTGGATTTGGGGCTATGAGTGATATAGGGAGCATAGAATGGGGTAAGAGGGTTAAGGAATGCGTAAACAAGGGTGCTAGAGGGAAAGGGAAAAGGGAGGGAGCGAGGGATGCTGCTTTTAGAATCTACTTCCACTACTTATAAAACTTAAAAGTATTAGAAACATAAAAACCATTAGGGGCTTAAGGTATCAGCAGGGAGGGTTAAGTCGAAGTATTACCTTACCTCTCACAGAGGTAAGGTAATACTGTATCCCATATAGCAGCCCCTTTGAGACTGCTGGGGCAACCTGAAGCTACTGTCAGTCAAAGGTAGCCTGAGAGCGCTGCTCCACACCACATATCCTAAAACCCCTAACCCAGCCTTAGATTGGCTAGCAAACTGGGAGCACTGCCCCTAACCCTGCCCTGGAGCCCCAGAGCGGCCAGTGGGTAGGGAATCCTACCTGGAATGGGAGGCCACAGGGGGCCAAAGCACAAAAAACCAGCACATGTGGCCTCCATCTTTTGCTTGAGACCTACCTCCACCACGTGGAAGCTGGACTTGCACGGGACTTTGTGGTGGTAGCTAATTTTCTCTTATTTTCTCTCTTTCTTTACTACTTTTTCTTCTCTTGATCTCTTTTCTGAATATTTTGAGTAACCTAAAGATGGTGGAATGGATCTTGCTAAGTTGCGTGGGTTAGCACATGCTAAGTCATAGTTTTGTGAAATATTTTATGTTACCCCTTTAAACTTTTGCCAAGATCTCTTATTTTCTCCCTTATTTTCTAAAATTGACAGTAAAAGTATCTCCTGAGAAAACATGTGCTGCATCTTCTTTTTATGCTACCTCAAGGTATTAAAGAACCAAGGGCTCTTCAAAGTATTCGGTGCACAAATTTTTGCAGCCTTGTATATTTTTAAAGTAAAACTCCTGTTTAAGCTTGTGGCTGTGGAGCTGGGGCCTTATAGCAAGGCCAGGACCTGGAAGTTATTCTATACCACTTCATTGCCGGTGGTGGGGGCAAGGGAGTCTCTTCCAGGGAGAAGGGGTCCCTACCAGATTGGTGCAGTGTGGTGGAGGGAGTATCAGGTATTGTCTATTATCAGGGAAACTCTCTGAATCGTTGGTTTCTTGCACACTCTGACAATAGTATCGTTGCTGTTACCATTCATTTTCTTATCTCATTTGTGTTTCCAGTAAATTGTTCCTATCTCAACCCATGATCTTTGCCTTTTTTTCCTTCATTTCTCCTCTCCAGCCTACCACAGAAGGAGGGGAAGAGAAAGGGGGAGTGAGAGAGTGGCTCATGGTTTGGAGAATCTCCGTGGGAGCACTAAATTGGGGAGTGCCATTCCTAAACCATGACAGTCCAATAGAGTCAATGCCAGATGGCTCCAGGATGGACCTGCCACTGGCCAAGGCCATGCTCATCAGTGACAGCGGCAGCACCTCTAGGATAACAAAATTAAATGTGGAGGTGGAAAAACCTGTGCAACAGAAACTGCAGTTGGAGGGAGGAGTGAGAACATGTGAGAGAAACAGTCCTGCAGACACCCAAGTCAGTACAGAAGGAGGGGCAGGAGGTGTTCCAGGCACCAGAGTAGAGATTTCCCTGCAACCCATAAGGAAGACCATGGTGAAGCAGACTGTTCCCCTACAGCCCATGGAGGTCCATGGGGAAGCAGAGATCCATCTGCAGCCCATGCTGGAGCAGGCAGTGACTCTGCAGGAAGCCTGTACTGGAGCAGGGTCCTGGCAGGACCTGCAAACCCATGGACAGGAGCCCACACTGGAGCAGATTTGTGACCCTGTGGTGGGCATGTGCTGAAGCAGCCTGTTCCTGAGGGACTGCACCCCAGTGGAGGGACTATGCTGGATCAGTTTGTAAAGAAATGCAGCCCGTGGCAAGGATTCATGTTGGAGAAGCTCATGGAGGACTGTATCCTACGGGAGGGATCCTACACTCAAGCAATGCCAGAGTGTGAGGAGTCCTCCCCTGAGGAGGAAGGAATGACAGAGATATGTCATGAATTGACTCCATTCCCTACTTCTCTGCACTACAAGGGCGGAAGAAAATCAGGAGTGAAGTTAATCCAAGGAAGAAGGGAGCATTTTTTTAAGATTTGGGTTTACTTCTCATTACCCTACTCTGATTTAACTGGTAAAAAATTAAACTCATTTCCCCAAGTTGAGTCTGTTTTGCCTATGACAGTGATTGATGAGTGATCTCTCCCCCCCCTTATCTTGACCCATGAGCCTTTCATTATATTTTTTTTTCCCTGTCCAGTCGAGGAGTGGAGTGATAGAGTGGCTTTGGTGGGCACCTAGCATTCAGCCAGGGTCGACACACCACAGAGAAGAACTTCATATAAATGTGTTCAAGATTACTTCATTAAGTTCCCATGATGTTCTTCATCTTTGTGACCTCTATTTAGATACCGCCTTATGACTAAATTATACCCTTTTATTGTACTTCTCTCATTGTTTGTATTCTTATGTATTTTATGTTTGAATTACAGTGTCTATGAATTGGGAAATGGATGGTTTGCCCACGCATGTTTCCAAAATACCTATCACATCAGAGTCCTAACAGTCCCAGGCAAGAACTATCACCTAACTCTTAACATATATCCAAAGGAAAACAAAAGTAAAAACACAAAGCTCTGCCTCACCCCTGTTTAGGGCCTAGGAGACCACAGACACTATAATTTTCTCTAGAAATCTTGTGGAAATCTCAGAAACTTTACTGCTACATGTAGCCAGATCTGGTATCCTGGCTGAATAAAGGATTTAAATGGATACTTTATAGTTAAAGTCATATGGGCACCACAAAATAGCACATCTGTGCTTGAGAAACGGGCAGTATTCCAGACTGGAAGGGGAAGTTTGCATTATTTTCTCTAAATTGGAATCTAGACACTTCTTTGCTTGGTGGGACTCAAACTTCATAAAAGTATTAAACTGTTAAGTAATTAGATTGAGATTAATAGTACCCTTCACACGTTAAAGAGAGGAATGTCAGCTGTCAAAAATATTAGTCCCCAGAAGGACAGCTATATCTCAAATGCTTTTGCTCAAGTCTCTCCAGTCTTACATGACCACTAGAAAAACCGAAATAAGAGCCTTACTTCCACCATAAGAAAACATGCAAAGTGCATGTGAAGGGCTATATGCTCTGACATGTTTTTAATCCAGAATCCTAACTGCCTTAAGTATTTTAAAGGACTAGGTTTATTTTCATACAGAACAATGAGCTACTTTCCTGGGCCTTTCTTGAGGTCTGATGTCACCACTCCTCTTGCCCAGCTGTAATCCCTGTGTTCTGACTACTCTAAAAGTAATTCCTGTGTGGCAGCTTCTAAGATAAGGACCTATGCCTTAATTTATGTATCCTCTGAATAAATTCATCCCCAATTATCTTGACTATTCTTATGTGGGCTCTTTGACTTTGTGTATGCTATTAAAGCATACTTATACTCCAATAAGCAATCTGTAAAAAATGTATAATTGGATTCTCTGTGTGTTGTCTCTCATTAACTCTGTCTTAAGTGTACTCTGTTGACAAGTTTTTAAAAAAACCAAAAACCTATTCTGACAGTCAACCTTGCAAATTCGTCCTTAGATCTGCAAGTCAAATTCTGACACTATTTAAATTCTACAAGTGGAGCTTTGTTAATAATGTCTTGATTATTTGTGAGCACAAAAAAAAAACCCACAAAAAACCACAACCACCACATATTTTCACAGCTTTATAGGTACTGGAGTATGGTAAAATAGTAAATATACAATCAGTACAAAGAACACCTCTCTGCATAAATAAGTGTAAAACATATTAACTACATGAAGGAATGAAATATTTAAATGTAAGAGAACTGACATTTGAAACATACTATTTCAGAGAGTAAATTTAGATATTTGTTCATGTTCACTATGAAATTAACAATTTTTCTGTGACTGCTTTGTAACGCTACCTTGCCTAAGTAATAAACTACCCTATGATGTTACAGAAAATTCTAATTTTTTCAGTATTTTTTGCAAGAAAATGTGTGCATGAGCAAGGGATTAATAGCAAAAAATGTTGATTTAATATTATATGTTACATAAATTATGTATAACATGTCACAAAAGAAGCAGACAAAAAGAGAAAGACAGAATTTTAAATCCAGTTCTGAACATCTTTCTGTATTTTAAAATACCAGCTGCTGCTGGCAAATTCTAAGCAATCATCTATCCTTCTCCAGTCCTTAGTACAGCTGGGTCTGAACCAAACCCAAGTTCGATACAAAGCTGCACAAGGGCTGTGTTGCCTTAGCTGTTTCCTGCAGGGATTGCTCTGGCTGCTAAGGAATGGACGGAATTCTGCATATGCTACTCCATCTTCCTTTCCATATTTGATCCTGGCATGACCCTGATATGCCTCACACCAAGGAATGGGGTAACAGATTGGCTGTAAGGGCATTTGTCCAACAGAATTTTGTATTGCTTAAAAAGAATCCCCCTGAGCTCTTTCTACTCTGTTTTCTTTCAAATCTGTGCTACATTGTTAAGCAATGCTATTTTTAATGACATTTCAATATATTTAAAAAAAGATTTTAAACTACGATATATGTGAGTTCAGTAAGTTTCCTGCTATGCTGTATCTACAAGTAGACAAATGAGTTAATGCCCAACATGTCTGTTCTAAATGTCCCTGAGATACTTCGAAATAGATTTTAATGTTATAATTGTATTTATCCATATAGTCTCCACTATCCTTTTGTTGTGATTTATAATACTGTATCAACTATGAATTAATATTTTAGTCTCTCCTGTATTTGTTACCATTCTGTCCACAGGGATCAACTGTCAGATGAAATTCTCATTAAATCTTTAATTGTATTAAACACTTCTAATGAAAGCACTGATAAAGTGCTTTGGGGGGAATCTTACTTTTTCTCCATTAGCATTTGAGATTATTTAGAAGTATACAGTTTTGGGGTTTGCCTTTTTTTTTTTTTTATTACTGTGTTATCTGTTGCATTGTCTGTTTATGAAATACCCTTTTACAAACTTTCACACCATGACTAAACTTTTCTGGGAATTTTAATTTTTTTTTTTCTAGTGGAGATGAATTGTAATTATTTTCAATATCACCTTTAATTTGTCCTCATGTTTAACTGTTAATCCTGTGAGACATAAAATAAAAGTTGTTTTTTTTTTCTCATACTATCAGGAAAATAGAGTTTAAATTATAGTCATTTACTATTTAATTATTTAAACCCTATATTTACATAGTACCTGCTTTGATTTCATGGACTTTACTAATCCCAAAATGAAACTAGTTTGGTAGTACTTATCAATGGCAGAAACCATAATTTTTCATAAAATCCTTTTCTCCTTCTCTCCTGAATTAAACCACAGTAAAACAAAACCTCTCTTTGGATAAAAACAGGCTGCACTGAAATAACTCCAAAAACTGTTGTTAGTTTCGGTGGAGTCAGAATTTTATCTTTGTTTCTTGCCATCCTGTTTTATCTTATTATTCCAAAAGAGCTTAATCCACAGTCAGCAGAAATCAATGTAAAGATTCCTGCTGATATAATTTGGCTCACAAAGTTCAATATTGTTTTGTGGATGCCGTTTAATATTTATCCCAGCTGTTATCCAAGGAAATGTATGGAGGAGACAATCTATCTTCATGTATATGCACTGAAGTTTACATTCTAAACATTAGGTTAAGGGATTATTTGAGTTTAAAATATGAACTGACTGTAAGTGAAATGTAATGACACGCATAAGAATCTGGTGGCTGCTAACAATACACTGTCTTGATTTTTAGGGGAAGAAGAAAATTATACTGTACTCAAATAAAAAGACAATTGTGATTTCTTAAACAGAAGGAATATAAGTACCCACACTGGATTTGGACAAACAATCGAAAATTAACACTCTGCCTCTTATAAAAGTATCATGGGGCTTTTTATAACCAAAAGTTGTCACTAGCTGGCTTTTATGTGTTCTCTGAAAACAAAGGCAGGTTGGCTCTGATAGCACATTAATTTTGCATAGCACAGCTCTTAACATTTGATGTTTATTTAAAAATATTTTCAGCTGCAATTTTCAGAGAACTAGGATTAGGAAATGATTGTATCTCTTGCCGAAGGTTATTTGTGCTCCCAGGTACACCACCGAAATTAAATCTACATGAGTATTAGACCTATATTTAACTACTATTACAAGATCAGATACTAACTACTCCAACTCAGTTACTAATACTCCAACTGATATGCATTTGTGGTACTTCAGTTCTTTTCTAAGTACATTTTTTTAAAATAATCAACAGGTATAGTAATTTAATTTCCAAGTCATTAATTCCCCTTGAACTTAAATACAAATATCTCTTCTTCTCTCTAGAAAAATAGTATTTTCTTACATAGATTTGCAGAAAAATCCCACCTCTTTCTGTTCTCAAGCCCCTGGGAGCTTTACACCCACAAAGACTTCCTGTGGAAGGATAACATAAATATTCAAGCATACTGAAGTTGTGAAACAATCCTCCATAACAGGAACCTCTTGCACTTTTATTTTTTCAAAAATTTCTAAATATGATCAATGCTGTACTGTTAGCAAGAAACAGAAATTAATATGACAAGAGCTCCAAGATCTTTTCAAAATACAAATTGCTAGGATGAATTCTAAGAAGTTTTTTCATTAATGGAGTCTGATGGTTGCGCATTGTTAATGCAGCAGAGATGTTGCATAGTTAAACAATAGAGTGGATGACATCTCAGCTGTACAACTGACACAAGCAGATTGCTCACTCATATCCATTATGCTATGTGGGATTTT